CTTTAAATTTATGTACCTTTATTTGGTAAAACTTACCTTGAGTCTTGGTAAGTTTGTTGCTTCTTTCAAGATTTGTCATCTCTCACTTTGGTACATCGAGGAAAACGAATAGAGATACCGTCTGCAGTATGTGTTTTTGTTTGAGTAAATTCAGCTCCAGTTATCTCCCATATTGGTGAATTCTAGAAACAAACAAGTGTTGAATTCTATTGCTCACAAGATCTGACTATACTTCACAACCTGAATCTACTTACAAAGTTTTGAACCAAAGAAGGGTCACAAAAGACCAGGATGTGTGACCTTTAGGGGTCACAAAAGACCAGGATGTGTGACCTTTAGGGGCCAGAAAAGACCAGGGTGTGTGACCTTTAGGGGCCACAAAAGACCAGGGTGTGTGACCTTTAGGGGCCACAAAAGACCAGGATGTGTGACCTTTAGGGGCCACAAAAGACCAGGATGTGTGACCTTTAGGGGTCACAAAAGACCAGGGTGTGTGACCTTTAGGGGCCAGAAAAGACCAGGGTGTGTGACCTTTAGGGGCCACAAAAGACCAGGGTGTGTGACCTTTAGGGGCCACAAAAGACCGAGGTGTGTGACCTTTAGGGGCCACAAAAGACCGGGGTGTGTGACCTTTAGGGGCCACAAAAGACTGGGGTGTGTGACCTTTAGGGGCCACAAAAGACCGGAATGTATGACCTTTAGGAGCCACAAAATACGATGACGTATGACCTTTAGGGGTCACAAAAGACCAGGATGTGTGACCTTTAGGGGTACTGAAAGACCAGGATGTGTGACCTTTAGGGGGTCATGAAAAACCAGGATGTGTGACCTTTAGGGGTCATGAAAGACCAGGATGTGTGACCTTTATGGGGTCATGAAAGACCAGGATGTATGACCATTAGGGGTCATGAAAGACAAGGTGTGTGGACCTTTAGGGGTCACAAAGGACCAGGTTGTTAAAAATAAAGATTTGTTTAATAAAACAAGCGACCTGACGGTCAAAATAGCTCCGTTGTCTTCATTATCATGGAACAAGAATCAGTTAATTGGCATTGTGGTTGACGCTTTCGGACTAGTTGTCAAAAATAACATTATTTACCAAAAATGACAAAAATATTCACTAAAAATCCAAATTTGCATATTTTGACGCAAATTTAACAAATCTGACAGAGGACCACCTCACGTATCATTTCTGGAGATATGAAAGCATTTGGACTTACGGTTTTGGACTAGTTGTCAAAAATAACATTTTTTACAAAAAATGACAAAAATATTCACTAAAAATTCAAATTTCCACATTTTGACACAAATTTAACAAATAGACAGAGGATCACTCCAAGTACCTGTGGTACAAATATGAAATTGGTCAAGTACTTTTGAAGAAGAAGTCGTTTAAAGGAAAACTTCACACGGGACACATGACACGGGACGGACAACGCCGGAGAGACCCCCATACCAATGCAATGACAGCGAAGCTAAAAAACAATATTTCATGTACAACTGACCTTGGGATCTTTGACAATATAATCTGGAACCACAGACTTATTAATTTTCAACCAACTTGGTACTTTGCTGACTTCTTGGCTGATTTTATTGACATCCAATGCCTTGTTGATCTGATCTAATTTCTTATCGTCAAATCCACTCCCGCATTTAGTCACAGTAACCCACTGATCAGAGTGTGGATCGTGTACACCCATTAGGAACACAGACATCATACCACCTAATGCAAAAATATGATAAGAAAATAAATCAAATCTTGTTAAATTTCTTGGACATGCAGGAAGAAATGAAATACATTAATCGCAGCTTGAGTGTATAGAAGAAAAGATGACGGCCAGAGTTCAGTATGTAGATTGATCTCCATAGCGATGCATCTGGTCAGAGTGTTTCTCGTAAATGCTCATTTCAACAGTAAAAATATATGGAGTACAAATTTGGACAATAGTTTATTAGTTGGGTAATACTTTCCTCAATATTGATGGAAGGCATGTTTCAAAATAACACAGGTTTATTCAATCATTGTTCATTCAAACAGAATGTATTGTCACAGACAGTTTGGTCTAAATGCAGGCAATGATGCAATCCAGGTTATTGCAGAGCTATGGATGAACTATGGCAAATAATTAGTTCTACTGTAGTGGCCATTTTAAAATGAAAACTTATCAAAATCATCAAACTATTTCAGCCACCCAAAGTTTTCAAGTTGCAAAAAATTTAGGGTGCCCAAAGGAGTTAATGCGCTGACTATAACCAGAAAAAACAATGACAATCCTTGGAAAATGCTGCAACTGGTAAGTTCATGACTTTAGAAAGATTTTCATGGTTCAATGTAAAAAAAAGAAAGATGCGTTACCTTTGCTACCAGTTCCAATGTAACCCCCTAGTACAACTAAATCTGCAGTATCAGCCATGGCCCCCTCAGCTAAGTAATCCTTTTTCACCTTCAACCAATGCCTTTTTCCTGGTTCATAAAGACCCTTTTAAAAATATATAATGTCTAGCTTTAGAATCATACTTGCAGGCTTACTCACATACTTGCAGGCTGACTCACATACTTGCAGGCTTACTCACATACTTGCAGGCTGACTCACATACTTGCAGGCTTACTCACATATTTGCCAGACATTGTAAGCTATCACAACTAACAGGAAAGTTTGATAAGAGATAAGTACACGACTTGAGATTAAACGCTGTGAATACGCAAAAACACTAGAATAAACAAGTATTTCAGGATTTATTCATTATAGTCACATGACCATGGTGCATATTATTCAACAGCTATGAAATATGACTAACTGATATGGTACGTCAACGTAACGATGTTCACGTTATACACCTTTATTGTATAACTTGCATGTTTAATGTACGTGGTGAAAAACAAATTGTGCTGCGGTACCATTTTTTGATATTTGAAGTACTTGAATAGTGCAATGAAAACAACTCATATTATTGAATAACAGAAGATATAAATATAAACAGAAGTTAGAGTAATATTTTAATATTTCTGACATTTCATGATAACCATTAATGACTTATTCAAGAGAGATGGTTGATACTAATGTCATGGACTGTATTATATAGTCACTTTCAGTGTATGGATAATATTAGCCAATGACGTCACTTGAACCAACCTAATCTACAAACAAGTGATATCAGGTGATATCCTCATAATGCTGAGAGTTCTCCCATGTTTTCAAAGTGATCTTCATTACATATTGCCATAGTTACAACATGAATCTCTAACTTATCTTTGACACACTGTCAAAATCTCTGAATCAGATTCCCAGATTATCTCTCCCCCTTTTCATCCACACTAATTGCTCCATATTTGTTCAGTACCATACAATGTATTTGCTCTAATAGTAGTGCATGCACTTAATATGTACATGGTACATGTGCTTCTATCAGAAATGTGCTTCTAACAGAGCAAATATGGTAGATGTGTTTATTACTGACTTACCATCAGGTCTTTAAGAACTAATCCTTCTAAGCCTTCTCTTATAGTTTTCATTATTAAGTCTTTTAAGTCAATGGGTTTCTATGAAAAAAAATAAACAACAGAAAATTAATGAAACTTTTGCTAATATATTTATTTCACCAAAAACAAATATCGAGGAGAATCACAGCAAGGAGTAGCATTATCATTTTATGAAGGCAGTCACATCAGAAGATGCAGTACATGCAAACACTAGTATTAAAGTGATATTATTACATAAAATTATAGCAATGAAAATTTAACAGTTAATCAGAGATTTGGAAACATGTCCAGTACTTTCTGCTTTTCTGCCAGATTCTTGATGCACATTTTAATTTTGACAATGGAAGATAGTAGGAGAAGAGCGAGAATGAGTTTTAATCTAGATTTTTATCCTTAGTTTCGAGCCATATCAGAGACACGGGGGGG